TTCATCAGATCTATCTCTTGGCAGTGTGTGATCATCTTTAATCCGTTTGCTGCACGGGTGCTGTAGGTCTGTCCAAGAGGGCCAGGTGATCATTTGCAGCAGCCCAGAGCGTGGTAGTGAACAAGAGTACCATTGGTAAGGGTGATCAGGTGATCTGTTAACATTAATCTCTGTCTTACCTGGTCACGCAGTTGTCCTTTTTATTCTACCAAGGCCGTTGCACGCACACTATACATTTCAGAGAGCCAGACTGGGAGCATGAGGACAGTTCTTGTGATTACTGGATGTTATGCATTTCTGTCTGTTTGCCAGTAGTGGTTAGTCAGGACTAGTTTTGAATCTGACATGCAAGTCTATCAAGTAATTTCTTAGGCATTTAAATATTTGTGTGCTTTCAGTTTCAAGTTGAACACCGGTGGCCAAAGAGCATGAATGATCAGTCTCCAAATGCAGCACTAAAGATGAGCCTTTTCCTCTGCCTCAAAAAAAACAAAACAAAAAAGCCAGGCAGAAATCCCCGAAGAATAATTTTGAGTGACCCTCTTAGTGTTCATAGAAGGAACTGTAGATCAAACATCTCTATTTACAAATAAAATAAGAAAACTGTGTGAACTGGGAGAGTGCTGTAAGTCCCAGGGAAGCCTGGCCAGAACACAATAAGAAACTAAAATGTCCTGTCGGATGGACAGTGACCATCTTGAATGTTTCTGTAAGTTTTTCTAGATTAATTTGACATAACAATAGCTTCAGAGCTGCATTCGCTAACGTGCAGAGTGTTTCCTAGCTAAAGCCTTCTGAGTTACTATAGAGGCCCTAACAGTAATCAAAATGTAGATTTCTGAATCCATACAGGGAAGGATCTGTTCATTGTACTTATGTACCAGTTCCTGTAGGGGAAACTTGAGACTCTGCATTATCACCAGAGGCCTTCATCTGCTGTTCCTCCAACAGAAGAATTTAGAAGGAAATAGATCCCAGCCCAGGAAGCTCACCTGTGCCAGGAAGTTCAACACCATTGTCTGTCTCTCACCGTACCTTTTGGGAAGTCCTGTTTGTCTTCAGCTGAGCCTTGGAAATCTGTCAGGGGATATCCAATTCTGTTTCTTTTTGATTCCTTTCCATGTGGTGCAGGAGGCAAAACAAGAAGAAAAGATTCTCTTTTGCAGCTTGGAAGTCATAGAGGGAGTGTGCACTTATGATCTGTATGAGGAAACTGTTGGGATAGTCCACCATCCAATTCTAGGTTTGAATTATTTGGAGACATCATCATCAGTTTCAACTGTTTCAAGCTCACTGTGGTAATATTCCTCAAGTTGTCTCCTTCATTCCTCAAAATCGGGGCGAGTTTCTTCATCTTCTTGGCTCTTATTTTAATTTGTTCAATTATGAGACAAAAAAAAAAGTAATGAAGGCTGTTGCTGTTAATACAGAATTTTCTCCTTGTTTATTTTCTCATTGCCTGGGGAGTACTGTGGAATACCTGGTGATCTGCTACAGCCCCCCTTGCATTTGAGTGCGCATGGATGACAGTGCTAATCTGGGTAAAATGCTTCTCAGAGAGGTCATTCCATTGATTTATGTGATCTTAAGGTCATTCATGAAGAGCCTTAAGCACTTGAAAAAAACAGAATAGGAGAGTTAAATCTGAGTTCCACACTTTGTACCAATAGAGGTTCCAGGCTGGTGCGTGCTCCATTTTTCTGCTAGCCTGGTCAGAGTAGTCAGATATCCCTTCTTACTTCCCATGCCTCTTGCCAGACTGTCGAGATGCAGGTAACTGATGTTTCTAGGCTCTGCGGAAGCACGTCTGGAGTATCTTCTGCAGAAGCTAACATAGAGATCTCTTCACATGCCTTTAGAGGGGTGTTTGCATTACAGTATTTCTTGCAGGGGTCCCAACAGGCAGCGATGCAGGCGTATGTTATGTTGCCAGGCAAGATAACACAACATTTTTCATTGTATTGACAGATCATTCATATCTGGACTGATGGATTCATGGCTATCATTGCAACTGTGGTGCTGTATTATTAAATGTTGCAGAATGCTTTCATGTCAGATAATCAGACATTTCCTAGCCCTCTGCAAATGGACTTTGAGAAAGGTCTTCTGCAGGAGGATGGATCTTGAAATGCTTCTTACTGACCCAAAGAGGAAATACTGTGCTTTGTGTCAGGGATTTGAACTTTGACTTCCTGCCCTGTTCCATCTCACAGGTAGTTAAGGTATGTCTCACGTAGGAATCCTCAGGAAAGTACTAATTTTTCAGCCTCAGTGCTGATTGTAGTCCAGCTTTGGTCAAGACAGCGTTTAATATGTTTATGTGATAAACCCTTCAGCGCAGCTCCCAGACATGTTCTATATCGTATTATAAAAAATGTAGAAGAAACTTGGCAGAAATGTATTCTGGCAGAGATAATTGATTAGTTCAAGTCCAGAACATTATGAGAGAAAGCAGGTGAATCTGTGTTGGACTTGAAGAAATGGGAACAGGGAAAAGGTTTTTGCTTTGTATTGCCCAGCCTAGTGATCTTTAGAAGCCCTGATCTTTTTACTGTTCTGAACATCACGGTGATCAGTGGTTTGGATCTAGTGTACTCTCCTGTCCTGTTCTAGCAGCCCACCACAGTGTTAGCTGGGTCAGTAGAACCCCTTTCTGAGTCTTTAGTTATATTGCTTATACCAATATTTTATGGTTGCTATTGTGCTGGTATCCATAGCTTAAGTGAAATACAGCATCTAAGACTTTATAAGACAGAGCATAAGGAAAATCTCTCTTAGGCTGAAGATTCACCTTCTCTCAACCTTTTAGTAGCAGTTATGTCTGATTTTTTGATATGGTGTTGATCTTACTTCAGAGTTTTTTTCCCAAGTTACTTTCAAATCAGGAGACCAAGTTGTCCATACTGGCTGCTATGAAGATTCTTTAATTCTCCCTGAACAGGATGACATCTTTCAAAAATGCTTCTTAGGCTGTCTTGGAGATGGAGATAAGACTTACAACAATGTGGACTCTTGGACAACATTTGAGCATATCATGTTATGAGATAGCTTGTTGCATGTTGTCTCTTCCATTGGGCTCAATAGGTACTCACCATTTAATTTTTTTTCAATAAAAAATTTACACATGGGTCGTTTCAGTTTCCTGGTGGTTCTTAAGTGATGCCATGCTATTGCTTTCTGCTGTTGGAAGGCTGTCCTTTAAATAGGTAATGCTCTCTTAAATGCAATGACTGTTTGCAGTCACCAGATGTGCGCTTATTACAGAGTGGATGGTTCAAGCAAGAGCAGCTCCTGCCCTCGGTTCATCCATTTCTGAAGTACAGACAGACAGGACACTTGCAGCTTCTTTTGGTTTCTGTGGAGTCAAATATTGGATTGTGTATTGGCCCAGTTCCTTTGCTGCCTTGTCTTTGGGAAGAGTATCGAGATTGGTAAGGACCCAGTGCATGCTGCTAGTCAAAAAGTAGACAGGAAGTCTGATATATGCAAAACATTTATTTTGAAGATTTGCATTTATGTTACGGGAAAGAGCACTCCACAGATAAGGATGATGCACAAGAAGCGGGGGAGGAAGAAAACCAGCTTTTTTTTTTACAGCCTTTGTTGTTTTTTGCTTTTAAAAGTGTAAAATTATGGAAACAATAATTTATCTGTCACATAAATGTAAACAGCTATTATGTTCAAAATTTTCTCGAGGTATTTGCTAGGGCTGTTCAGTGAGTATTTTATTGATAATTTTTTTAATGTGTAACTTGAGAAGAGGGAATTTGCTTATTTTGCAAGTTAAATAGTCTTTAAAATTAGTAGCATTAGTGAAAACACATACCCAGTCTCAAGTGCTGGTTAATGAAGGCTTGCAGGGCATAGTCTGTTGGCAGCTCTTCAGTCCCATGTGCAGTTTGTGGAGGGAAAGCTGTTTGATCCACTGTACTTCCCTGACCTGACCTGACTGAGGGTGAAGCAATCAGGATCTCATCTGAGCATTTGGCAGCTGTAGGAGAAGAGTTTGATAAACTGTTCACTGGGCAACAGGTTGCAGAGACTCTACCATGACAAACTCCTCGTGGAAAGGAAGAGCAGGGAGGGTAAGGGATGGGACTGAGAACTGTGATGGATGGTGGGGAAAGGGTTAGAAAGGCTTAGGGAAGTAGGAAGCTGGGCAGATGGCAGTGGAGACTGGGAAGACAGGGAGTGTTTAATTGGAGACCAGGAAGGCACCGTGGTTATTGTGGCTAAATACTGTGACAGACATAGTTGATCTGTCTTCTGCGGGATCCTGGATTGATGTTGAGATGTAAAAGATGACGTGTGACACTGCTTGATAGCCTCTTTTTGATAGTGGTTTTCTTCTGTTCAGTTTTCTGTAGCTTTTTAAAGTCAGAATTAACAAGATTAGCGTTTTTCAACATGTAATCTTGGGTTCCCTCTCCATTCAGTACAGAGAAGGGAAGAGCCTTACTCTGAACTTTTGGAGGAACCTGCTTCCCATTACCTGTAGAAGGAGCCTGGCAGGACCAGTCTTCTAAGGCTCCAGTTAGCTTTTCTGCGTGTTCCCTCTTAGTGAAAGAACTCAAGTGAGACTTCTGTAGTCACCATGTTCCAATATTCCTGTGCTGCAAGTGGGTGTCTTAGATACACAAGGTCCATGCATCCTAAATAATAGTTTCACTTATAACTTAAACATGGATGGATCTAGTCTGTTCTGCTTGAGCTTTCCTATGTAGAAGCAGTTATTAGGAGAGTGTGAGAATGCATTAATTGATTTGAAGTACTCGTAAGAGTTTAGTGGAGTTGGAGCCTGGTGTACTGGACTCTGAACGGACTCATAAAGCCAGAATGAGATCTTGGAGTTGTGCTAGTAGTTATCATATAAGCAATTACTAGAGGAGTTGTCAATAGCCCAGCTGAGAACATAAGTCCATTTCAATGTCTGTGTGCATGCAATTTTGGTATTTCCATCTCAAAAATAGTATAACAAAAGTAGAAACTTAAGGTGTGGGATGGCTTATGTATGTGAGACAGTATTCAGCCAGAAAAAGATGATGATGGGGATGATTTGGAATGGGGAGGTAAGAATGAGAGGTTTGCAAAATTCTGGATGTGTGAAAAATGTAAATTGGGAGTTGTCTCTTCTACAAGAGCTGAGGGCATCAAAAGAAATAACAAAAAGAAATAGTAAATAACAAAAGAAATAGTAAAATATGGAGCTCCTGGCTACAGAACGTCATGGGTGCTAGATGTTTGTGGAATTACAACAGTGTTGGACAAACTGATGAAAGAACAACTTATCAAAGGTCATTATATAAAAAAAAATCACTTTTGCCTCAGAAGGTCCCTGAGCACAAATTAGCAGGGTCTGAGAGTGTTACAGGAAAGTACCCTTGTATACATACCCTCTCTCAAATTCTTCACTAACCGCTTGGTTTAGACCACTGTCTTGATGGAATGTGGAGTTATGTGCATTTTCATCTGATCCAGTATGGTTGCTTCTGTGCTCAGTGTTGTATTTCCTTAAAAGTAACGTCAAAAAGAGAAAGATAAGTAGTAACTCAGCAGTGCTGAACTACAGCTGCAGTAATGGAACACTGCTATGAGATTTCTACCTAAACCCTTTTTTCTGCAGAGTAAACCAGCCCAGTAATCTTGGTCTTTCTTCACATGTTGTGTGCTCCAGCCCTCTAACTGTCTTTGTACCCCTTCATGTGCTTATATCCCAGATGGAGGACTGAAGCTGGACAGGACGTTCTGGATGTGGGCTCAAAATTGTTAAGTAGAGGAGAATAATCTTTTCCCCTGATCTACTGCCTGTGCGATGCGATCCCCTGTGTGGTAACAGTTTGTCACTACAAGGATGCACTGCTGCCTCTTGTTCAGCCTGTCCATCAGGATCCCCACCGTCTTTCCATTGGGTTGCAACCTAGACAGTTGGTTCCCAGCTTCTGGGATTGTATTCTGTACCAGGTGTAAGACCTTTGTTGAATTCAGGAGGTTTGTGACAAGCCATTTCTGTGGCTTTTTGAGATCCTTTTAAAAGGCAGCCTTGCCATTTAATGCATCAGTTGCCCTCAGTCGCTTCCCATTTGGTGTCATCCACTGTCTTGCTAAAGGTGCAGTCTGTCCCATCGTCCCAGCCATTGATGAAGATAGTAAACCATCTCAAGCTCATAACTGGCTGCCGGGTAGGTGTTGAATCATTAACTACTAACTTTGCACGTGACAGTATAGCCAGTTTTTCACTTGGTTTGTAGCCCACCCATCTGCTTTTGAGACCTTGCTGCTTCTCCCAGATTGATATTTTGGAAACTTCTTAAAATATTGGGGCTTGGTGAGGGGAGGCTAAACCACTTTCTGCCAAACAGTCTTGCAGTTCAAAAAGTAACGTAACTGGAGATGTTTTCTCCTGCTACAGAGACTGTGGGGTACCTAATGGGTGAACTGAGATGCTCTAGCCACTTTAATGGCAAAAAGAGGAACTGCTGGTAAAATTTCATCTGGCAAAGGTTCTTTGTTGTGAAATGCTTCGGTGGGAATTGCTCTTGAAGAACAGGAACTTCCTGTTACTGAGCTGTGAAGTATTCCTTGCCTGTCTCTGGTTCTGGGTCGACGCTGTGTAATCTGTTTGTCTGCAATTTGTGAAAGACAGCTTTCCTGAAATTTTTTAATCATAGTTTTCACTGTGAGAAAAATTTTGAAGAAGACCTTGCCTCTGTGAGGTGTTTGCAGGACTTAAATTTTCACCATTTCCCTGAGTTTGAAGGAAGGATTGTAGAATACTTTATGAAATCTTTCATAATTTGTTCTCAGGGATAATGGTATAAAGCTCTGTGAGCAATAACGTTCTGTATGGCATACAAGGTGGTGGTAGTGTTAGATACACGGAAATCTGAAACAACACAGAGAGCGTGGGCACGGAGAGCGCACAGAGCTTCCTGCTGATTCAGTCTTGCTTCATGTCTGCAGGGTGGAAGAGGACCCTGTGCCTGCAAAGCTGGTGCGATATGAACTGCCTTGATCTCAGCGGGGTTTTGTTTATGTTCTGAAACCTTTTAAGTGTTAATGTTAGCTTCTGTTAGTAGTCGCGTGATCAGATGCGTCTAGTTAATATTCATGTGGCAATCTCCGATGCTTTGGCCCAGATAACACGCTTCCTACTCTAATAAGGTTTATTAAAACCAGCTGTCATATAATGAAACTGATACTGAAACAGTTCTGTTTGTTGCTAAAGGAAAAGGTAAGCTGTACATTGTGTCTTGTTCTTGATTAACTAAATCCAGTTTTGGCAAATAAGGGAGTTTGAAGGTACTTTGTGCTGTTCATCTGGGAATTTCTGCCTCCATTAGCATTCTTGCTATTTGGAGAATGTTTTTAGTTTTCTTTCCTGTATCCACTCCAGACATGTTTTTGCTTTATTCAGTCACTTTGGACTGCTCTTCCAGGTGATGTGGCAGATGGAGGTGTGTGTATATAGTAAAATCTAAAAGAGAAAATGTTGCTTGTGTATAGCTGGTTTAAGCCCGTCTGCACCATTCATCTGAAATAGCAACTTGAACTTGTTTTCATCCAGTAGATTCCTTTCCGTCCTTTCCATCCTTTCCTCAAGTCTGAGAACGCTTTTGTTTTGGGAGAAGAGGGACCCAAGGAGTGTCTTCCTGGTGGCAGCAGAGCGCTTTGCTGAGGTGATGTTTAGACCAAAGAAGGGGCTAGGCCTGGAACTGGAAGGCACTTGGGTAGCATACAATGAGATGTTATACTCGCTAACTGGATTTTTCAGTTGGTTTTATAGTTATGTGAAATGGTAGCAATAGGAAGGGCACCTGCTTCACAACAAATGAGGACAACTGATACATGTGTGTCTTTTAATCCCAGATGCATGTGAAAAATGTGTGAGAAGTAGCTGAGTGGTGTTCTGGCAAGAAGAATTCTTGTCTCTAATGGAAAGGATGGTTTGCTGTCTGCAGGAGAAGGTCACACAGCATACTAGCATGAATGATAATATCTCCTAAACTTGAAGCTTTATACCCACACTTCAGAATAAAAGGGGGAAAATTAAAATGTTATTTTTTATTCTAACAGTAAATTTTAAGGACTTCTGCAGTTCTTCGATTTGCTTCTCTTGAGTTTTTGGATTCTCTTGCCTTTAAATAGTTTGGTGTTCAAATCTAGTGATACCAGGTTAATAGGATAGATAGGGCTTTTGATATGAAACTTTCTCCGTTTAGCTTCGCATGGTTGCAGTATTTTGAAATGAGTACTCAGATATAGTTTGGATATTCTGGTTTAAATTGGAAGTGCAAAAACTGGTTATTGGTGCACGTAATGTCTGTGTTTTGCTGAGCTGATTGGATTTCTCCAAAAATGTTGCTTTAATTCATAATCTAAAAACCTAGTTGCATTCGTAGATGGAATTTATGGATATTCCTTTAGATATTTGATCGGTCTTGGATCTTAGCATTATGGAATTAGTACTGTGATGCATGTGTTTACCACTCTCTACTTTATAGCTTCAGAAGAAAGTGTTAGTTTACTGTAACTTAGAAACTATTTGGGCTTTTTTTGCATGCTGTGCATCAAGAACCTCTTGCAAGAGCATTACTTTGTGCTATGTTTTAATGCCATTTCTGACCAGCAGTTTTCAGCGTGAATTAACTTCTTTTTCAATATTAGAAAAGATCAAAAGTGTTACTATCAGCATTAATCTGCATCTCTTCATGGTGGTGGCCATGCATATTCAGATGAAAGCCACTTTCTCTTAAGCTCTAAAGCTTTGAGGCTAAACCTATCTATAGCAGCGAAATGGAAACAAGCTTCTTCGTTCTTCTACTTCTTGAAACTCAACACTAATTCTCCAATTAGTTTGGTTCATCTTAATGCCTGCAGACAAGGGGGCACAATAGATGCTGCTTAGTCTGTTACATATTCTCCAAACAAGTTTCTTTTCTGTAATATTTTTATAGGTCAGATTTTGATCACAGGAAATTGCTGATCTCTGTTCTGGGTTGTTCGAAACAAAGAAAGCAGAGGGGGAATGTTCCTTTTCTCATATTCTTCGTTTCTGCACTCTGATGTTTATTTGCTTTTGTTTTAAGTTTTCAGGTTGCTGGTTCTGAGGTTGGTATAGATGACATACCATAATGTAGTATGCTATTGGGCTTCTGGCGTGCTAGCAGCCTGCCAGGTTTCCTTATAGGAACTGACAAAAAGCTTAATGACTTTTGTGAGTTGTTTTGGTTGAGACATTGGGAGAAGCTGTGATCCACTTGTGCCAAGACTGAAACGCAAAATTGTTAAAAACTTTGAATGACTATTTCTCCTTCCCCCACCCCAAAATAAATGGCAGCTGAAGGAATTAGCGCTAAAATGAGAATAACAGTTGGGTTTTGATGACCTGGATTAAGTAATTTAGTGAGTTTGTGTGAAACTTTTCAGCTGTGATTTGTGAAGATGCAGATCGCTAGTTACTATCCGTAAACTTAGCCAGGCTGGCCAGGCAGGACACAGTGTTGTAGTGCGACCAGGTTTCCTGGTTCTCAACCTACTGCTTTGACTGTATGACCAGCTATATGTGAACTGTGATATAGTTTGTGACTAGCAGTAGAACCATCTTGAAATGTGTTTTCTGAACTTCAAAATTAAACTCCTAAGTTTGCAAAATAGCTTGTCAACAGTTCAGAGGCTGTTCAAAGTGTAAACAGTCAATTGCAGAATGTGTTTCCCATGGTGCTGGGATGACACTAAATATTGATTGAATCATTTTCTTGAAGCTCCATCAGCTTAGGCTAAGTGAGCTTGTTTTGGTTTTGTGTGCTTTGAATAAAATACAAATGGCAACTGTAAATAACTTTCTAGAGTTAGTTTGGCCAAAGTCTTTGTGTCAGTGGAACCAACCAAAATATTAACCAGCACAGTGAGAATCACAGCTGTTAGGCAATATATTTCTTGTGCCGTGGTTATAACTTTTTAGGTTTTTTCTTAAAATATTATGTTGATTAGGCATGTTATCTACCTTGTTAGGAATCTTCATTGGCTCCTAAAAATTGAGATTTTAAAAATTGGATAAATTCCTACTTATACAGAAGTCATTAGTTAGCCTTTTGGTTGTTTAGACATTAGATTTCTCTAACTTCTCTACAGAAATTATAAAATAAGAATGGTCTAGCCTGGAAAGCCACAGTGCTGGGGCTCCTACAGGCAGCTGAACTCTTTGTCATTGGGTGTGAGCATACTCCTCTGCTTGACAGGGAAGAAGGAAAGTGCAAAAGACTGTTCATGGTGTTGGTGCTGGCAGAAAAGGTGAGCTGCTTTTCCCGTTTTCTCTGGGAAGAAGGGCAAGTGATGGATTGAAGAAAGTGTCCTGTAGCGATCTGTCACTTGGATCACACTGAAATAGACTCCAAACACCATGTAAATCTAGTGAGGTTTCTGGTTTAGGGCATCAGGCACCTTTCGGTTCATTTACGTAATAGTTTCCAGTACATTTTTGAAACTAATACTTTTAAAGATATTAAAACTTGCATTTGAATTTTTGTCGGAACTGTTCTTTTTCTGTAGAATGACTGACTTCCTTGCCCGCAGCTGTGTTGTCTGTAGAGTCTTGTGTGAGGAACTCCAGTGTGTTGGCAGAAATACAGTTTGAGACAGTTGATTTGCCATTCAGAGGACCCTTTTCTGTTGAGCTGGGATTAACGACTTCACAACTATCAAGTGTTTCCAGGGCTCTTGAAGTGTTTCTGACTGTTACAGCGATGATTACAATTGCAGTTCACTTCATGCAGGCAAAGGCCTATGACCTATATTTTGAGAGTATATGAGTCATTGTTCCAGAATTTTGGTGAGAAGGGCAGCTGGCAACTATTCTTGACCTGAGTTTTTGAGAAAGGATACCACAAATGCAATGTGGTCAGGTTGATGTGCCCTACATTTGGAGAAGTTTTAATTTCCATTTAACTCTGTCAAAGTGTGAAGATGACAGAATTCTGTAGCTGTGTTCATCTGGATGCTAGCTACTTAAATGGTAGTTTTTAATTATTCATAATGACAACAGTATCCAGTGTCTGAGGAAAAAGGAGAACAGAGGCAGGACTTGATGAATGCAAAATTTAACAAAACTCCTGTTCCTGTGCCACAAGAAGAGAGCTATGCTGATGATCCAGTGATTTCAGCTTTGCACTTGGGAAGATGCGTCCATATACTTACAGCATACATGCAGCCTTGCTTCTGTAGCAGCAGCTTACGCTTACCACAAATAAAAGTGATTTGCCTTCTAATCAGATAGCATGTTACCTGCATTTAGTTTTACAATCCATCCAGCCTTAGACACGTAGTAATGTCAAGTAACATTAAACATTTCTGGGGCTAATATCCGTTGCCACAGCCTTTCCCTGTTTATCTGCCGACAGTCTACCTCCACCCCCACCAAACTTCTCTGATCTGTTCCTGACATGACATCTGCAGCGCTGAGCACAAATAAGCTCTCTCAGTGTCTCGAGGAACATGTGTAGCATTGGCACATGTTATCTGCTGTGTGTAGTTTTCAGAAGTTTGAGTATTGTTTTGCTTGATGAAATAGTATTAATCAGCCTTAATGGTAGTTTAGCAATTTTCTCTCAATTTTCGTGCTGATTTGTACAGTTTAATTCTTATTCTTGATTGTCAGCTAACATCAAGTATGTCAGGCATCTACATTAGGCTTGAAAACACTAGTTTAGGCCTCCTGGTAGGAGCAGGACTTGAGTGATGGCTTCTATTATAGGAATAAAATGGTTATAGGTGTTGGTGGGATGTAGAGATTTTGGTTGTGTTTTTTAATGTAGGAAATATAGAAATTTGGTGAAAGTTGTAGTAGCTAAAGTGCTAGTTTTTTATCATTTCAAGAAGTAAAGATTTTGCTGAAGTGTTACATTACTTTTGGGAACAGATATTAAAGGTAATTTATAAAAACTTTCCACATTTTATACAAATTTTCTAATGGATTTTGCTTTTTATCTTTCCCTTTATAGCTAAACCAGGTGGACGGGTGAAATGTCAGTATATTTCTGCTGTGGATAAAGTGATCTTTGTGGACGATTATGCAGTAGGATGTAGGAAAGATCTCAATGGCATCTTACTGTTAGACACAGCTCTGCAAACACCTGTTTCAAAACAAGATGACGTGGTTCAGCTTGAATTGCCGGTTACAGAGGTAAGATGTGGAGAGGGGAAAAAAGAGTATGTAAATAACTGTGTCAGAAATACTGAAACCAGACGTTTGACCCTGAGTTTCTAGTGTGATATTAACAGCATGTAATGGAAAAGTTTCTTAGTTATTAGGGCAATAGCTTTTTGCAGTTATTTGTGTCTCAAACAAATAAGAGCTTGCCTTTTCAAGAGCACATTGTTTCAGATGAAAGAACTTTTTAGTGACCAGAAGTAAAGACTCATTTCCACAGCTTTGTCAGTGCTTATGTATGGAATTTAGATGTACTTCTAGAAGTCAGTCTGGGCTGCTAGACATCCTTGAATTTTTTTGTTTCAGGATTTCAGGGGAAAAACAGACAATTAGAATCAGCTAATATGGTGTTGCAACACGTGAAGAATTAATGCTGGAATCTAACTCTCTTGCTAGGTCGGTTGGCCTAATGAAAGACTTTTTTCCATGCAAACCTGGTTTCCCTTTTATGTTTGGGCTTTCACAGTTGTAATGCGATTTCTCCTGGGTTGAGACGATATAACCAAGCATTTAGTATCACTTTAAGGGAATCTAATGTGTAAATGTTTGCTAAAGAGTGTAATGCTTAGGATTTTGTTGCATTGGTTTACCTTCAGCTAGGATAGCATTTATTAGGTTGAGGTAGCATGTGCGTTCTTATTTTCTAATGTCACCTAGTACAAGATAGCTAATCATTGCTTCTGTTCTAAGGCACTTGGTGATGAGGAAAGGAACTTTCACCTTTGTAGTGGTCGCGAAGTAGTAGACCTGGGAAGTAAATCTATACAACAGTTTTAATTACAAGTGAGGTTAATTCTTTGTTTGGGAAAAGCATAGAGCATCTGCCAATGGTAACATTTAGAATAGTGCTTACAGTGGAGAAAACAAAACTGGACTACTAGACCCAGATCCGGAATCTTTAAAGCACTCTGAGAAAAGAGCGCTTCCTGCTCATCTCTGTGGGAAATAAATTTATAGTGAGTGATCCACCACCAGCAAAAACTTATCCTGAGCATTGATCTAAAATATTTATGTGCTCTTGGAGTACTGAGTAATAGGTACTTACTAGGAACCAAGAACGTGTGTTATATGTGAGGTGTTTAACTACTTGTCTTGAGTAGGAGTAACAGCAATAAAATGTTGCTTCATAGAGGTCTCCAGAGAGAGTTTTCCAGGTTCCTCAGGCTTGCTGCCACTGGCATCATTTTTACACCCTCTGTGGGTAACTACAAAATCTCTGTATGTGTGGCTGAGTGTGAAGAGACAGACAGAGGTCAGCATTTCCTTTCACAAGTTTTGCTGTCACTGGTTTGCAGTCTCAAGTGGTTCAACACAACCTATAAGTTTCTGTCAGTTTTAGCTGAAAGTTCTTTGCTTCTGAAGAGTTTAGAGACCCTTATTTCGAGGTTAAAATAGAGCACTTCCCCATAAAGATCCTTCCTGTAGAAAAAAAATGGAAAATATTATAGTTCAGTATGAAGTAGTAACAGATTTGGGGAGTTCGTGGCCAAATCAGGGAGGTGGAAAGAAAAACATGAACAGTCTTCAGCTCTTTCTTTTATTTTTAAAGAGGAGGTACCCAGAGCTCAGAAAAAGTTAGTAAATATTAAGTAAATATCATACAAACACATCAGTCCAAATCTTTCATCATAGGAAGGTCAAGAACCTTTATCCAAGCAAGAGCCTTCATTTTTTTTTTAGTGTCTAGAACTTTTCTGCAAATTTTTGCACTTTATATAAGTAGTCTTTTTAGACGATTGATCTGCTGGTGTTGCAGTGCATCTTTATGCATTTCTAATCAGCAACATTGACAGGTTGTGATGCAGCCTCTATGCTGGCTTCACCTCCCCATAGAACACTCAATTTATGAACTTCCACAGTCTGTATGGACTTCTGCAATCTATCTTTTGTTTTTCTGTCATCTACAAGAAACTTGAAGTATGAGACACCACAAGAATTGTAATTGTCTTTTTAATGAAATCTGGGAAACAGATATAGCCTTAGCTAGGGGACTGATTTGCCTTATTCTGTCTTTCTTCCCCTGAATCCCCAAGGATGTAACTAAGTGGCCATTTGGAGCACGTTGTGGCCATTTAAAGGACAGGCTGGCTGTGTTGCCTTTGGGAAATATTCCCCTGTGTTTGTAATTTGAAAGAATTCATGTAACATTTTTCAGATGTTAGCCCACCTAACAACAGATACAGAATACTCTGTGCTTTGCACGTGAAGTGTACCTTTAAATCTTACTTGTCGACATGAAGTTAGCAGACAGAGGGACAAGCTAGAAACAGATGGGACTTGGAACACAAAAAGTCTATAAATAGATGTTTAGTGTCATTTCCTAGATGCATTATTTCTGAGTTTTAAGAATTTCTAGATTCTAAACTAGCCTGTTTTTTTTCTGCCTCATTTTTCAGCTTCATTATACTAGCATTGTAAGTAATTTATCTCTAATTTTGTTGCAATGTTGTTTTTCTCATTATCATCTACTTTTTAAGATACAGAGCTACTCAGAAAAATGCCAAGACTTGGTTCTTGCTCTCACTTTTTCTCCATAAATCTGAAGGAATCCTTTGGAGGGAAAGCATTAGGCAATAGCTGTCTCCTTTGCGCTTGGCTTTAGTATATTTTCTAATTGTTTATATGACTGGCTTGTTTAATGTTTGGTAATGTTGCCCTTGAGGGAACCTGTAGTACTTACTGTCACTGTTGCTGAAGTTTATCCATGGATTGGCCTACAAAGTAAAATTTGGAACTGATTACTTAATTCTGAGTCTTTTATGGGAATTTATGCTGATACAATGTATGATAAAGTGAGATATGACAAATTGCATTTCCCTGAGTAATGAAACAGGTGTAATTCTTGTCTGTAGTTACTCAACGTGGATGCTAACTTTTCTTGCGTATCTGCATTTTAGGCTCAGCAGCTGTTATCTGCTTGCATAGAAAAAGTAGATGTTTCTAGCACAGAGGGATATGACTTATTCATCACACAACTGAAGGATGGTTTAAAAAATACCTCACATGAAACAGCAGCAAATCATAAAGTTGCAAAGGTAAGAATTTGTCTCTCTACTGTCTAATATGGATTCCCAAACCTAATTTGCTTGGCTACGATTATTGAAGCATACAAAATATTTGGCTTAGCGTGGTGGATTTTGTTTGAAGAGGGTGGGATGTATTATATGTTCCTTAGTTCCTCTGTATGAAGTTTCAGTGGTTCAGAGAACAAACATAATGATAAACCCAATTCATAAACCCAACTGAGCTTAAAATCTGAAGTTACTGACTTCTCTTGTAGTATGGGCATGTTGCTTTTGTGTGTCTGTTATGGTATTATTTCCTGAAATCAAGAGGGTGCAAGATGTGTGTTTGTTTTTGCTTTTGACACTTTTGGGATCTACTTGTTGTTTAGATGTTAAAATTTTTAAATATAAACTAGGCACTTTTTTTCTTAATTTAGTGGGCAACGGTTACGTTCCACCTTCCTCATCATGTTTTGAAGTCTGTCGCCAGTGCCATAGTAAATGAACTCAAGAAGATAAATCAAAATATTGCTGCCTTACCTGTAGCATCCTCTGTGATGGATAGGTTATCTTACCTCTTACCCAGCGCACGACCAGAACTTGGTGTGGGACCTGGTCGATCTGTGGACAGGTATTTTAAGACAAAATAAGTAATGAATTTCACCCCTTAGTTAGATCAGAATAAGCTCTTGGATTACTTTAATTAATTTGCCAGAGGAATTAGTGTTAATCTGTACTTTGTTGCTCTTAGACATACCGCTAATTAGCTGTTCAATGCACGATGCGCTGTGCATATTACTAAACTTAGAGAAACCTTTGTGGGTACCATAAGAGTGTTTCAATTCCAACTTTAGTGCCAGGCCAATTGAATTCACTTTGGTTTTATTCTCAACATACACTTTCAAAGGTATATTTCAGTTGCAGCCCTAAATATAGGTCCCTAGGTGGTATTGTAACGTTAGTTTGATTTGTTCACCTAGGCTCTCTTCATCATGTTTGATTAAGGGTTTTATCTGAGCAGTCAGGTGTGTATGACTAGTTACTTAAGTTACTGGCTTTACTCAAACTAGTACTGAAACCTTACTGAGACTGCAATGTTGAGATATTCAGAAACTGCACAGCTTCAAGAGCATATGTACACCTCTTTTGAATGCAAAGAGAGTGCTCATTTGTCTGCCAAAGACAGAGATGCATACTCTGCTGCATCGTGGAATCAGTTCCTTTTCCTTCATACAAGAAGGAGTTATGCCCATGTGTTTTGTGTTTTAGAAGTTTAGGAAGTTGTTACCTTTGCAGAGTATATACTTGCTGCTTGTGAGCTCGCAAGTTGCCCTCTATGTGTTGGGGGTCAGAGAAAATTTTACCTTGGACTGTTGCTTCGTCTCTTTCTGATCCAAGTAATAACGTGTACACAAGCGAGTAACCCATTATTTTAACCTTTGTAAGCTGAAACTAGTTAGAATGCTGATAAATCTTTTAAGTCTATAAATTAATTCCTTCTTGAAAGGTTCTATACAAATACTATTTTGCAAGCATATTGTCATTTCTTACAGCTCCAATAATTTAATAAAATTTATTTCATCTGTTACATCCCCTCCTCAAGCCTCCAGGGGCTTGGCTCTGTACCTCTCCATGTTGTGTTTTTGATTAGAGCTCTCTCAGATCTGTCTCTTAAGATGGTATAATGTCAAATTAAGACAGCCTTTATGTGGGCATTGCAAAAATAGTTTACTGCCTTGGTAGGTAATGTTTACTGTATCTATTCGTTTATAAGATGACAAAAATCTCCTGAAATGGAAGGGCAGAAGCAGGAAGCGAGCCACTTTTCTGTCCAGCAGCACTAGTTCTTGCTATGATATTGTACATTTTCTCTGTAGATGTTGAGTTGCAGAGGAGTTCCTATTTTGTAACTTAGTGGTTTATAATTTAGGTATCATAGTATGCAGTGAGTGATGAATGTATTCAGCTAAACCTAAAATATCGCTTTGGAGTGTTTTTAAAATATACATATTCATATCTGTTCGGTTTATAAATCCAGATTTTTGTAGTAGTTGTCATGTTAAAAAACTTCTCTAGTAGTTCTGTTGGGCTAGATTCTGCATCCTTCCTTGCAGAGGAGTAGCTTTAAATATCTGGTGCTTTTCTGCAGTTACACCAAATAGGTTACCTGGGAGCTTGCTGTATTAATCTTGCTCTTAAGGCCTGTAAGTTGTATTGCTTTTGGTCTTTTGCTGAGGATATACTTTAGGAACCCTAGTGAGAGAACTTTGTATTTTTCTGTAATTGTTAGTGGTAATTTTAAATACATGTTAGAGATAAGTATCTGTGCTATTTCTGATGGTTACTAAAGCATTGAAAATATCTCATAATTAGCTTTCTTTTTTATTCTAAGTGGCAGTTTTGGGTAATGTAGAAATTTTCCCTGTTCTAGGTCTTTGATGTATAGTGAAGCTAACAGACGGGAGACATTCACTTCATGGCCCCATGTGGGTTATAGGTGGGCACAGCCAGATCCTATGGCTCAAGCTGGGTTCTATCACCAGGTAAAAGGTGGTGTTGTTCTTACTATTTGCTCCCTAGGTAAACGTTTGGGGAGTTGTTTTTTGTGTTTTGGGTTTGTTTTTTTTTTTATTCCTTCAATGATACAAAAAGCATAATGAAAAAGTTTGTCATTCAGCTCTTTAAGTTTCAGGGGTTTTGCGTGCCTTGAGGTTGCTTCTTTTTTTGTTCAGATTGCAGAAAATACTTGTCTGAACTTCAGCATGTAAAACACTTTTAAGTATCAAATTGATCTGAGTTAAACAGCAATAATGAAGATGAAGTTGGTTGTTACATAGAATTTCTCTTTCTCCTTGTTAGGTTGTTAAGTAAATATCCTTACTTCTAATAAGTAACGCAAAAAAAGCAATCGGCTTGATATCAGAGTTCTCTAACGATGCTTTCTTAGTGGGACATAAACTGTATTGTCACAAACAATGGTCCTAGATCACATTACTAAATTATTAAGCTTACTGAATAAATGCAACCTCAACATTTTATTCCACAACTTTTGCACTTGCTGTGCAAGCAAGTGGCTTTCACAGGTGTTGGTTCTGAATCTCTTCTATAGTAATGTGGTGTATCCTTTTTTTAATGTGAAACACTGCCACTTTATAGTATATAATTTGTGACCTTTTATATGTTTGATGTGATACTTTGCTATGCCACTAGAAGAAGGAGATGACTTGATCACCTAGTTAAAGTGTTTTGAGTACATAGCTGTATAAATTTCAAGTATTTCTCCTTATTTTTATAGCCTGCTTCATCAGGAGATGACAGAGCCATGTGCTTTACATGTAGTGTGTGTTTGGTGTGCTGGGAGCCTACAGATGAACCTTGGTAAGTTTAACTATGTTTGGAGTAAATATTGTGCTGAAGAAGTTAGAAATCTTTGGAGGACAAAGATTAACATGATGTCGATGGGATTTCTGATGATTTTAGGGAGTGTCACTGACAAGAATGGATTTATAGAATTGTTCCATGGGACAAATTACAAAATAATTCCCTGTACTGTGTCAAATTTCTGTATAATAGTAAACATTGCTTCATCTTATGAGATAAGTAACCCTAATAACATTGGAATTCTAATTTACATTCTGTAGAATTTAGTCTGTGCTTTTCTTCGTGAGGACATGATGAGCTACTGCCTTTAGGACAATTATTTTTTTTAAATGTAGTAATTATAGTAAGAGCACTGTGTGTAGATTCCTCCATTTGAATATGAATACCCATTAAGTGATCTAAGGCTTTAGTACAGACTGCTCTTGAGAACCAGCAGGGAAAGCTTCATTAGTAACTTCAGAACTCTCTCCTATGGTTGGCTGCAATACAGTAAAAGCAGTTCAGTCTCAGCTTCACTTCAAGGGCTGAGCTTATATATGATGCTTATATTTTTCACAGTAAGAAATCAATATTTGCTATGTTTGTTTTTAATATGAAAAGGTCTGAACATGAGAGACATTCCCCAAACTGCCCATTTGTGAAGGGTGAGCACACTCAGAATGTACCTCTTTCAGTCACACTGGCAACAAGTCCAGCACAGTTTCCCTGCACAGACGGCACGGACAGAATAGCCTGCTTTGGGTCTGGAAGTTGCCCTCATTTTCTAGCTGCTGCAACAAAACGAGGAAAGATCTGCATATGGGATGTTTCCAAACTTATGAAGGTATACAATATAAACAACCAGTTTTTACTAACTAATTACTGATTAAGCATATCTTGATTTAAATCAAAGACCTCTTCTGTTTTTTGCTGTTATTTCTCAGGTCCACTTAAAATTTGAGATCAATGCATACGATCCAGCTATTGTGCAACAACTTATGTTATCAGGAGAACAGAGCTCAGGGGTTGACTCAAGGAGACCAACATTAGCATGGCTAGAAGATTCATCTAGCTGCTCAGATATACCGAAATTAGAAGGAGACAGGTATGCCAATCTACAAAATTAGAAATATGAAATGCTCCTGTGTAAGCGGTGAATGCAGTTAAGTCATGCTTTGTGAAACATAAGATTGGGAAGATTCTTTTTTTCATGGAGGTAATTTTTTTTGATCACTGTTTACCTGCACACAAGTCAACACTTAAATAATACTAAGTTTCCGTCTTTAAAACCAGTTCCATTTTATTCCTGCTATGTTAGTTTTATATAGTCCACTAACAGAGATGCAAATCTCATTTCTGCTCTCTGCTGATATTCCAGAGGCAGAGAAAGAGAAAGGAATGTAAGTTTTGGAACAGCTTTTCATTTTAGTTATGGATTATGCATTTCAGGTTTTGATACTAAGGGCTACTCGTGGACTTCTGAGACATGCTTTTCTTTTATTGATTCTCTAATTTCTGGTTATGTCATTCTGAAAATAAATTATGTAGATGTGCTAGGAATTGCTTTCATTTTGTACTTTTAACACATGCATATGAACTCTAAGTAATTAGACAGTCCTGTTGCAAGCTTTTAGGTAAACTAGAGCATTCGCCAGTGCTTAGGAAGTGCCATGTGAGAAAAAGCAGTAGTCTTTTTTTCATGCTTCTTACAGTCTGTTACTGGAGACTCCTTTCTTACATTACCAAAACTCAAACAAAAGAGTGAATAGTTGTTGGAAAACTCAGGACAAAAGGTGTTTGGGGATCTTGATAGTTTTCTGAATGTTTCTTCTTAAACATCAGCATCACAGAAAGTAACAGTACTGCTACGTGCATGGGAAAGTAACCCTTTGGTTTTAAGCTTGCTGTGATTCTTACAGTACTGTAGAGCAAATATCAAGGTTGCCCTTTTGGAGAGGGTATGTAGAAATGTGGGCAGCATCAGAGTGTGGGGCCTAACAGCAGCCCCTGGGACCTAGACTTTTACTGTAGCTTTGGGGCTGTAAACTCCTTGAGAGTTAAAGAATTAAGCCAATTTAAACAGCTGGTTAAAGGACCGTACAATCAGTACAATCATCCTGCTCAGAATTGGAGCATCTTTAAATAATCTGTATGAAATTTACTATCACTTTCCCATTCAAGGGGAAGCTGGATAAGAACCAAAGTATTGAATTGTTGCTGTCTTGTCGTGAGGTGAAGGTTGGTCAGGTTTGAGCCAAAAAAAGATCTATTTCTTGGGCATGAGGAGGAAGCATCCAGTTTGTTGAAATTCGGGAGTCTGACGTGGTGCTGTGAGTAGTTATACCTGAAGCTGCAAAGGCATTACTGTTCTTCCTGTGTGTAAAGAGCCTGTAATAGGAAATTGTTTCTTATATTGGAAAAGCCACATGCGTAAAATCTACATATATTCTTAGAACAATTGAGGGGCCTATTCCTCTTGAAGAGGTATCTTTAATAGAATCTGCTTTCATGAAAAAATGATTCATCCAGTAGTATTGTAGTATTTTGAAAAGCAACACACTGTTCATACACCCTTTCTGTACTAGCTACAAAATTGCCTTGGTAGAGTTGAAGACCAGTCTGTCAGCTCCACCTTTCAGGGACTATTTTGAGGAACTTTGAAGAAGGTATTATCAGTATTTAGAGGTTTTGTTTGGTTTTGTTTTTCTTGGAAAGATTCCTGAGAACTGGCTTTCATTTTAATTCCGTTTATGTCTGAATTGTTGGGAATACAATAGTAGAATGAGGCAAATGGAAAGCTGGTCTACTGGTTCCGTGATGGAGGAAAAAAAAAAATCTTTATATTGTTAGTGTGTGTGACCAACTCATCAATGGATGCACAATGATGACTAAAAGAAATGCCGGGTTATAAGACATATTGTATTTTTGTACTATTTTTTTTAAACTTAATTAAAAATAAGACTGCAGCTACAGAGCACATGGTGTCATTGATGCATTTTTTTTTTTTTTCAGTGATGACCTACTGGAGGATTCAGACAGTGAAGAGCATTCCAGGTCGGAATCTGTGACAGGTAGGTAATATCTGATCCATGTAATAGCTTAGAGGTCAAGAGGGAAATTGTTCTTCTCAGGCTTTTAAAAGAGCCCTGTCAAAACCAATGATATTATATTCACTGTATTAGAAAAAAGGAAAAATATTGACCTTGAAAGCAATGCCAATATTTAAGTTGTGTGGTAGAAAGATTACATACAGGAGAAGAGGATAACCCTACTTTGTTGGTTAACAAATGTCTTATTTGACAACAAGCATTGCTTATCTTGCTGTCAATAAAACACACAAACCAAGTTAAAAGAACTGACTTAGAATGGGAACAAATTACAGCTGTACAAAACCCTTTAAACTGAGGGGATTGCCAGAGAGAGTTCCTGTATCTTGCTTGTTTCCCTCTGGGTATGCACTTTCCTGAATAAAGATTTCATATGGAAGCAGAACAGTGCTATGGGTGGTGTTCTTGCATTGTTTTCTTAGAGGTTGCATCAGAAGTTTTAGTGAGAGGAAGGATAACTTGCTTATTTTCCATAATCCAGTTTACATCTTTGAGTAAGGATCAGCAAGTGGGGAGAAAAAGAACATGTGCATGTGCATACACACAAGGAAATAAACTTGATATGTAAAAAGGAATTTTTTCAACAAAAGTATTAACAAAGATGGTGCTCTGTCCTTTATGCTTAAGTCACCTCTTAATCTGGTGTCCTTTGTACGATGTCCTTTGTAATCTTTTAAATCTCTACATTACTTGGTTGAACTCCCCCGATTCGTTGTTATTCTTGCAGTAGTGTTTAATTTGATCAGGCTGTGTCTTGTAAGTTTTTATTGGATTTTGTCTTATAATAGCTTGGAGTTCTTTCTGTTAGGTGGTTTTTTACATGGTGGGAAGTGTCAAGTTTTAAGAATAAAATGACATGGCTTTCAACTGAGATTGGAGAATTAATGTGTAGAATTGCGGATTTTTGATGGTACTGGATTGTCTAGGAAGGAAAGGGAATAATACAGGGCAGAACATGAATTGAGCTGGTTAGATTAGTTGGATTTCCGTGTGGTGATCTAGCCTAAGCAGAATAATCAGTAGAATGAAAATGCTGTTCACTGTGAAACTTGTTACAAAGGCTAATGTCCTGTTCTCTGTACTTCAGTCTTGTTGATAAAGAGAACTATTAGTCTTTGTGGAAGGAATTTTTCTGGGCCTCTTCTATTGTTTCTTGACTATCAAATCTTGAACATATGGAATGTTTTAACATACTGAAACTGTAGAGCAGTGACTTTTTGCTTAATTATAAGTCCATAATATATGCAATATGATTTTTTTTTTTTTTAACATATATTAAACATTTTTGTTTTCAAGGGCATACATCACAAAAAGAAACTATGGAAGTCAGCCTTGATATAACAGCTCTCAGCATTCTTCAGCAACCTGAAAAACTTCAGTGGGAAATTGTTGCAAATGTTCTGGAAGACACGGTTAAGGATCTAGAAGAACTTGGGGCAAATCCCTGTTTGGCCAACTGTAAGAGTGAAAAGATGAAGGAAAAACATCTAGAACAACACAACATTCCCTTTCCTTGTTTATTAGCTGGAGGTCTATTAACATACAAATCACCTGCTACCTCTCCTGTTAGCAGTAACTCTCAGAGGTCACTGGATGGCTTAAGTAGGACTCGAGGTGAGAGTGTCTCGGAACAGGGATCAACTGACAATGAATCCTGCACTAATTCAGAACTGAATTCCCCTCTGGTAAGGAGGACTTTACCTGTATTGCTGCTGTACAGCATTAAGGAGTCTGATGAAAAAGCAGGAAAACTCTTTTCACAGATGAACAATATTATGAGTAAAAGTATACACGATGATGGTTTCACAGTTCCACAGATCATTGAAATGGAGCTGGACAGTCAGGAACAGTTACTCTTACAGGATCCCCCTGTGACTTATATTCAGCAGTTTGCAGATGCTGCAGCCAACCTAACTTCTCCGGACTCGGACAAGTGGAGCTCTATGGTTCCCAAGCCTGGGACCTTGGTTCAGTGCCTGCGTCTGCCCAAGTTTGCAGAGGAGGAGAACCTGTGTGTAGATTCAATCACTCCTTGTGCAGATGGAGTTCATTTGTTAGTAGGACTGCGGACTTGTCCTGTTGAATCTCTGAGTGCAATAAATCAAGTAGAGGCCTTGAATAATTTAAATAAATTAAACTCGGCACTATGTAATAGAAGGAAGGGGGAACTAGAATCAAGTCTTGCTGTAGTGAATGGCACGAGTATTGATGTAATCCAACATGAGACACCAGCAGATGTACCAACTCCTTTAATAATTCAGCCTGAACAGAGAAGTGTTAGTGGTGGATACCTAGTGCTTTATAAGATGAATTATGCCACTAGAATAGTTACTCTAGAGGAGGAACCGGTAAAAATCCAGCATATCAAAGACCCCCAAGACACAATTACCTCAATGATTTTGCTCCCACCAGATATATTGGATAATCGAGAGGATGACTGTGAGGAGCCTGTAGAGGAAATACAATTAACTTCTAAAAATGGCAGTGGGAGAGAGAGAAGATCTGAGATCTCTACTCTTGGGCACCTGGTAATAACTACTCAGGGAGGATATGTAAAAATACTAGATCTTTCGAACTTTGAAATTCTGGCCAAAGTGGAGCCACCTAAAAAAGAGGGCACTGAGGAACCAGATATGTTTGTCTCTGTGATATACTGTTCGGGCACAGACAGATTATGTGCATGCACCAAAGGTAAGACTTTTCTTTAAAATTCTTTTCCTGATGCATGGTTTGACTGTATTTGGATTGTATTATAGAATGTTAGAATCTAAGTTTCACAGTAGTGATAGGCAAATTCCATTGAATTTATGTATGGTTTAATTCTGTTCTGGGGAGCGTGGACTCTAGTTAATTCCTCATTTCAACTGTAGATTTTTATCTCTAAAATGGGAATAACTGTATCTAATTCCAGTGGTCAGTTGTATCTTCTTTCAGATGGGGCTGCTGGTTCTGCTTCAGCCTCTTGCAACTGGGATTCCACTTTCTTGAGTATGAGAGCTAAATTATCCATGCAGGATTTTTAGATCTTTTTCAAAATGAACACAAGACATTTTGGGGGAAGGAGGCAGCTAGGAGGGGAGTGTAACTCAAGTCGAGGCAACTGCTACTTTGTGGAAGTCCCTAAACAACCACCCAGCTCCCTGCCTCACGTCACATTAAGCTCAAATCAGATGTACCTGTTGCTTCCAACAGGTAAAGCTAAGAGTTTTAGCAGTGGAGACTTAGATTTTGTTTTTTTAGTATGGATGAAAACATTGCTTTAACTAATTTATGCTTGCAGATTCCCACTGGAAACATTCATGTTTACTAAATTGTTCTCTTTTGGTGACTGCTTTTGCAGAAATGTCTGTTCAACTGTTTTAGATTTGTTTAATAATGCACGCTTTTTCCTAGTTAAAATGGAACTCTAACTGAAAGGTGAATTGCCTTTGAGAACTGTTGGTATGTCATATTCATGTCATAATCTTCTTACCTATACTTTGCTGATCAAACTGCAATCTCATTTAAAAAAACCCAAAACCTTGCTAAGGTTTTTTTCTACAGATTTGTACTACTATTAATTTCTTTCATACATCGAATTTATTCGTCTTTCCTGTATTTTAAGATGAATAATAAAAGTAAAAGGGCTTATTGTTACTGTGCACAGTACCTCCCATCCAGTGTTGGCGTGTATGGTAATTATATTCTTGTAGCATTTAGTGTTATCTAAACCTGTTATGGGACTTTGAGTGTAGGATATGCAGGCCCGCTGAGTTGGGAGTATTTATTCTGTGTGCGTAGGAGTATTTGTCCGTTCTGCTTAGATAACCACCACTTCTGTTGCTGACTGGAGAATACATCTTCCTCACATAATGCTTTTTCAGTAAATATCTCTATTTTTTTCTCTCTGAGAGTATTATAATATCCATCTAGTAATTTATAAATAGTTTTGCTGTCACTTGTTTTGGTTTTCCTGCCTTTGAGGTGACTGGGATTTTGGTTTTTTCTTCTCTAGGTATCACACTGCCCTCAAGTTTCATATTTTGAATATAGTACTTCAATAACTCTTGATTTTTTTGAATCCATTGATTGTTCTTATCTTTCATTTACACCCACTGCACCTCTATTGGGAACTTTTCTGCTCTGTGACCAAGTTAGAATAAACTTCAGAATTCATTATTTCTGTGGTTTAAATGTCTTTAGAAGCTTTCAATTTCTGTCCTTTTTTAACATTTCAGTCACTTCTTCTGGTATAACTTTTAAGAAATTAAGTCCAAAGCCATCATAAATATCTAGGGACCAATATCCATGAGAAATCTGGATTTAAGGGTCTGATACTAGTTGTGTCTGAGCCTCAGAGTCCTTACATTTATGCCAAAATGTGAAGCTTTGTAAAGAATGACCTGATCGTAAATGTTTATAAATAACTATACGTAAAATTCAGGAATACTAAAAGAAAAATCAGAAAGCTCAACTATCAATATAACTTTTTTATCCTGTATCTTATGGTGCCTTTGAATAACTTGATGTAAGGAATAGGTTTTGCGTATTTTTTGTTGTGTTGGATCCTAATCATCCTTTAATCTTTCTCCTCCAAGTAGGTAAAATTGCTTGCTTATCTGCTAGGCGGATGAATTTATTATTCTTATTTATTAATTTCTTAAATGCCATTTTCTTAGGCTTCTTCCAAACTCACTTTGAGGTGTTTGCTCCTCTGTATTTACAACCACCTGTGGGATGGTGCCTGCAGTCTGACAGCGTTAGGAAAATATGTGTTGAAAGTAGAATAGCTATATTCACTGATGTATTCAGCGTTCATCCTTCTAGCAAGTAGCTTCTAGCACAAAGACGTAAGTGAAAATGTTAAGTAGAAGATTTGGAAGTATTTTGGAGGATTTTTTAAAAGATCATTAAGAATTGTCGATTTTCTACCTTTCACTGCTACTGATATTCTTCCTTGTCAAGTTATGAACTTCAGTGTTTGAAGCTCTCGGAAGAACTATTACTGAGTAGGAAAGTGAGGTGGCATTTCAAACACATGCTACAGGAGGTGGAAATGCTCATGGTGGTGTGGTGAAGCAGGTACTTCCCTGCCAGGCTGGTTGAGTAGGTGTTAAAGTCTGTGTGATCTGTTTGAGTGCTTGAGTTTCTTCTAGTGAGGGAAGCATTCCTGGATTGTGCTCAAGTGAAATTTGTAATCTACTTCTTTCACCAATATAGTCTTTAAATGTCTGTGTTGAGTGAAGGTTTTCCAGTAAATCATTTCCCTGTTGAGTCCTGTTGAAAATGCTAGGATTTGTCTTTGCATTACATCTAGCAAAAACTTTCTCAACAGAAAGCCAATTTGATTTTTAAGAAGTGGTTCTTCGCTAGTTCCCTAAGTTGATTTAGTTACATTTTCAGTTTAATTATTATTTAGAAGTAGCCTGGGGAAAAGCAGGGTGGAAAAAAATTTTTTTACTTGTTTTCATTGTAAGAAAGAGGAACTAGTGCTTTTGCATTCTAGCAGTTCTCTTTTCTGCCTGTGTTGCTTCAGAGCTGACAGACATAAAGACCCGGCTCCGATTGATGTTCCATAATCAGCTTCTCACACATAGCGATTCCCAGATCACATTGGATCAGTTCTCTTGGATATTGCCAGTTTCTGAATTAGTCAGAGTTGGAAGCTGTAAAAGACAACTATAAGCGCTGAATGTAACCCATCACAATCTGTATCTTACTGATTGTTTTACACTTTCATTTGTAAGCACTTTTTTCTTTAGCTGTTTTGTGATTATTCTTGTTTTAATGTTCTTTCTGTATACATTCTTGCCTGCAGTGTTACATTATAACAAGAGTTTTTCTAGTTGTTCCCCTTTGTTGGATAAAGTTGGTTTTTTGGACTGGGGTTTGGTGTTTTCAAAGGGAGTTGTCTGCAGGCCTGGCAGAACTGGAGAGCAGTTTCATACATTTCAGACTTGATTCCCTCAAATCTTGTAGCTTTCAATTATAACAGGTTGCTTGCTCTTGAGTTGTGTGTAGTGTCTTAATTGCTCTCTGTAGCTTTCTTCTGGTTTTGTTTGGATATATTATTTGTCTCTTCCACGTTATTAGGCTTTGTCAGCCAATATTGGTGTATTTGAAGTTCAGGAATCAATTTGGTGTTTCCAGTTTTCTGCCTTCATAAGCAATGGAGTCTAATGAGACTGGGGAGAGGTCAAGTTTTTTCCACATCGGAATTGGTGTTAGAAGTGATGCTAAGAGATCATCACTGTCGCGATCAATTACACTTACCCATTGAGGAGTACTGATCAGCTGGTTTTTGAAGATCTTCAACATGAAGTTTTAACAGCCTACTCTTCTACTGCGTGCTGTCCTTGATGATGATTTTTTTTCCCTAGCATTCTGATTGGAGTCGTTACTATCCTTTATGAACACGGCAAAGAGATTACTTCAAAAAAAGAGGGGAAGGCAGAGTTTATTTAAGTTCTGTCCTCCTCCAGCCATTAATTTTCTTAAGCTGAATGTCTCTGGTCCTTCTAAACTTTCCTCATGGGCTTGTAAAGAAAAAAAAAGAATACACAACTCTTACACTCCCGTTCTGAAAGACATGTTCAAGTCAGTCCACATGTTTCTTGATGAGATACCCAAAATCTGACACAGTAATCCTAGAGATGTATTTGAATGGAACAGAATAATTCCTCAGCATCTCTGCAGTCTGTACATACCATGTGTGGGTATGCATAGTGGGATGTTTGCATCTTTGAGCAGGAAATTGAATCAGGTTTATCTTCTGACTCACAAGAGCCTCTTGTACAGAATTGCTGGCTAGCTGATTTTTCTTCATCCCGTAATAGTGCATTTCATTATTTCTTGCTAGGCATAGTAACTTTCGCTTGTCCCTATTCAATTGCATGCTATTTTTTCATAAGCTGTGATGGAATTTTACAGCTGAAATCTCCAAGAATAGTTGTAAATTCTTTTGGAGTGAGATTTTAGGGAAGCTTTCTTGAGGGCATTTTTCAGGTGTTCTGAACGATGATGTTTAGAGCTTACCCTTTCTCTACAGCCCAGTGGTGAGACAAGGAGGACTGGAAGTTGCTTAGGGGATAATTTCCTGTGGTATGGCTTTGTTTTCTTAATTCCTCTAACTATTCGGCTGTTGTTCAGCTATGTCCTTGTGGTGTGATTTGCTACCGACAGTTGTGTCACTCTTCCAGGCTCCTGCCAGAGTGCAGGATGTGTGCAGGATACTGAACATTTCACCAGATTGGCTCTGACCGCAGTGGCCTGGTCTCTGACATGTTCTCTAGCTTGTGCCAGTGCTGCTTTCCTGGAACCAATAACTCTTTTGCCAGAAAGAAGTTTGGGATTTATTTAGATGGATTTATGATTCTTATGTTCTGTTTGTATAATCCCTCCATGTTCTTGAGTCCAAGCAAATTGCAGATTTTTAAAACAATTCACAATTAAATTAACAATGTTTTGAATGTGTTACCTGTTATTTTCAGGAAATATAATGATGCTGCTTTCCAGTCATTCTCCTTTGTGATCACTGAGTCAGTGACAGCTTTCATATCTTCTTGGTAACGCAACAGAAGCATTTTCTCGCCTCTGTCAAAGTGATGCAAGTAGAGGAGTCTTGATAAACTACTACTTATGATGTTTACTAGCAGCACTGACTTTCACACAGATTTTTTTTTTTTTTTCCCTCCTATTTGACTATAGGAACTATGGTATCTTTGAAACAAATAATTAGGCATCATCAGAAGGTCATCTTTGGATGTTCCAGGAGAACAAATGGCTCCTTTGTGGTACAGAAGCAAAGCTACCTGCAGGGTTTTGGAAAGTGTGCGTGAGCACTAATAATTTTATAGGCTGATACTGCATAACTGAGGTTCATTATAAACTTCTTTGCAGAAGCTTTTTAAGAACAAATCTGAGAAAGTGAGATGTCTCAAGTTTAGCACAGGATTTTTCTTGAAAAAGTGCAGGACTCTTTCAGGAGTGCAGGGATTGTGACTCTCTCTTCCTCTTGTAGTATGGGCAAAAAGGTAAGGATGTTTTTTGCTGCTATTAATTAGTGACAGAAACTCAGGAACTTGGTTTGAGAAGCAAGGTTTTGTTTCTGTAAAACCTATGGAAGGCCTACCCTAGGATTTTCTTCTTTGTTTAAATCATCCTAATTAGAATTTTTGTAACTTCTGAAACTGTTAACAGTCCTTCCCCTCCCCTCAACCTTATGTAAAATTTAGCCTTCCTTCTCAGTGACTTCTCTGTAAATGACAGAATTCATTTGTGTATATCTGTAGTGGTGAACAGTGGGCATCTTCATCGAATGTGACCTTCATTTTCAAGGTCACATCAAAACATCGTGTCCATTGAAAATTTTGGACTTGCTCTTTTGATTGTTGACCTGATCAGCGTTGTAATTCCAGGTTTGATGAAATAATGTGAAGAGCCCCTTAGTTAAGAGAGTTCAGTGGGTCAAGTGACTTTCCAGTTCTCAGACACTGAACTTTTAAAGGAAATTTATGCAACCTGTACGAATGAGGTAGTGTAGACCTTTGGTTGTCATGATGGAATCCTTTCTGTTCAAAGGAATGATTTGGAGTCTGGAAAGTGTCATAATGGTTATGCTTTTTGGGTTTCTATTGAGGTTTCCTTAGTTAATTACCTTTTAACCCCCCTCTGCCCTAATACTTTTTTTCCTTTGGTACCATTCACAACTTGAGTCAGTATTTTTGTAGTTCTGTTTTGCATTTACCTTGAAAAAATTTGTAGTAGTGAAGGAAAAGGAGTATTCCTGTATAATCTTACTGGTTTCAGGTCCTGCACAATTACTGTCATAATTGTGGAGCGCTTCAGCTGCAAGCCAATCTTGTGAGTTGAGTTCAGCTGTATGCCTGTCTAAACTTTCATCTTTTGTCTGTGATTTTAGGTGGAGAACTTCATTTCCTTCAGATTGGAGGAACCTGCGATGACATAGATGAAGCTGACATACTTGTAGATGGATCCCTTTCCAAAAGTGTAGAACAGTCATCAGAAGGCACCAAGCCCTTATCTAACCCTTCTAGTCCAGGCATTACAGGTAAACTGCACGTGTTTAAATGTATCGTTAGTAAAAATGCTTTTTGAATTTTTGGAAGTTGCATATTAAGGTGATTTTGAGTTATTTAGTATCACGCTGCTTTATACTTTTTTGGTGCCTGGAGTTCCATAGTTGCTGTGTGTCTGTCACTGTACAAATATCACACTTTAGCAGTTCCTGATTTAAAAAAAAAAACCTGTTTTATAAGCAATTGTTTTTCCAATCTCTACATGTTATTTTAAATGTGGCAGATGGGGAAAAACAGGTAACTGTGCAGGCACTGAGTTTTCCTCATAGTTTAAGTAAGCTTGAACTCTTTATTTGGAATTTAAAGCGTATGCTCAGTATGTAAAATTGCATTATTGTGAAAGTTTTGTGCAGAAGCTGTACAGCTCTACTTACTAAAACTGTACAAAATATATTCTGCAGGCATTGTTACATACAGTGAAATTCATGGTCGCTATACTTCAAGCAGTGCAGTTGCTGTTGATAAATTAAGAGTATGATGTGAACTCTTGGATTGTTGTTTTTAGCAGCTTGTCTGGGTTGAGCTATGCTCAATTTCTGCTGTCATTTACCTACTAGTTTCCTTCCTGGAGAGGTAGTCTGGCCTTGGACAGCAAGAAATAATTGATTCTAATTGTCCAAATTATATTTTTACCCTAAACATCTTATTTAGGTCTCGTCTTTACTGCAGTTCTCATATAGCAGTCCTGCCACCAGTCTGCTGCCTGTATCCTGGCCCACTTAGGGAAAATAAGCAGTTGGGTGAGAGGGGCTGTTCTTTTTGTAGTCAGGTAGAAGGGGGAAAATGTGCGGGGCTCCCCCTTCTTGTAAGGAAGAACAGGGAGTTATGTTTAGTTTCTGTTGGAGGGGGAAGAAGAATGAAGCAGAAAAAATCCAGTCTGCTCAAAGACAGAATTGTTGCGCAGTTTGAGCTATGATCTCACTTCTTGTTGCAGTGTCATCTAGCCAACGAGGTTCACATTTGGCAGTAAAAAAAAGATGGTTGGTGTATTACTGAAATTAAATTTCTAAAGCATTTTTAATTTCCAACCTCTTCAGCACTTTCCTGCCTCCTAGATTGAAAAGTAGAAATCATAGTTGATGCAATGAGAGTGATTTTTTTTTTTTTTTTTTTTTTTTTGTGCCTGACTCTGGGTATCTCATCTTGAGCTTCTCCACTTTTTGGGAAGAATTGCATATGCCTTTCTACTCTCAAGCTGGAAGATGTAATCTGGTTATTATACTGGTTTCAACCTGGCTTGATTTGCAAGATAGTCTCTAAGTTCTGACTTCCCTGAGGGAATGGTATTTGTGTTGGTGTAATTTATTTTATTTTTTTTCCCCCCTGGAGTGGTGACAGTAGTAGTCAGGTAGCAAACTTTCTCCTTTCGAGGAGCATCCTTTCTTTAAAAGTTTCTTTACAATTAAAATGCATTTCTAGGAGAAAATCCTCAAAATATAAGAAAACTGACATTGTGCATATCTCATTTTCCCTCAAGTTGTCAATTTTATTTTATTTTTTTTTGTCTGAGGAAACCTGATTATTTTTAGAGTTCCTTTGTACTGTTTCTTTGGGGCTTTGTGTCCCTGAAATCTTTTAATTTTCTGTACTTCTTTAATTCATATCCTTGTTTCCTCTGGACAGGGCTTCAATATGAAGATAAGAAGACAAAATACTTGTCTAGGCCCAGGGTCTTTTAAGTGCATTACATAAAGCATGTTTGTTTTTCACTTACCCCCCCTTTTAAGCTGAATTGGCAGCCTTCCAAAGCATTCTAGTAATCCACCATAAAACAAGCTATATTGATAAGTGGGTGCCAAAGTAATGTTTTAAACAGTGATAAAAATGTTACAATTGCATAGTAATTCCATATGTCTGTTTTCATGAAATCTAAAACTTCATGTTGGTTTTTTTTTTTTTAATCTGAGTCAACAATGTTTTAATCAGCTTTACATCATCAAAGTATAGCTGGTTAAATACTTTTTCCTGATGTTGGTTGAATCCCAGACAGCATGCTCGGAGCTCTCAGTACATAGAAAATTTATTTCAAATGAGCTGCCTTCAGAGGATCCTGGCTTCAAGGCTAGGGTTGTTTGGTTGCTTGTGTTTGGTGGTTTTTTGTTGTTGTTTTTTGTTTGTTTGGGGTTCTTTGTGAGTGTTTGGTTTGGCTTTTTATAGAAACTCCATATAATGTGTGCTTAATTTTACCTGTAGCAGTTTGGATATATTTCAAACTGTTTATAGGATGTTCTGGAAAAACTATCTGTGCAGTGATTAATGTATGTTCTGTAATTATTCAGGAGTTGATCTTTTGGTGGACCAACCATTTTCCCTTGAAACACTGACGTCCATGGTGGAACTGACCCGGTTTGAGACCTTGACGCCACGGTTTTCAGCCACTGTCCCTCCCTGTTGGGTAGAAGTCCAGCAAGAGCAGCAGCAGAGGCGGCATCCTCAGCATTTGCACCAGCAGCACCATGGGGATGCAGCTCAGCATACTCGAACTTGGAAGCTACAAACAGACAGGTAGGTAGGGTAACAGCGCAGAAAGAAATGTGTGTTTTGCTTAACTAGTTTGTATAGCTGATGTAATCACAAACGTCGTGCAATGTAATTGCTTTTACGTAGGGTGCAAATTTAAGAACATGTACTTTCAAAGATAATAATCCCTATCTGATAGTTTGCGTTGTAGGTCTTTGTCATATTGCCAGAGTTGTTTTAGTGGACCTTGAAACAAATTGAAAAATCAAGTTTTGCATTTGTGTATTTTTGTTTGCCAAGTGTTGCCATTTCATTATATAACCAGACGAGCACATTCACTGGAATTACAGATATTCTTGATTGTTTCTATGAAAGTCTGATTCACCGTTCTTATGCATACACACATTCTTAGTACATTTTTTAATTGGAAAATGCAAGCTGCAGGTGCCAGTATGACTAATTAGCTGTCCTAAACAAAATTGTATTTTAATTTATTTTAAAATGTGAAGATAGAATCTGGACTTATGCCTGTTCATGTGAAGTTAAATTTTTGTACGTGAGGCATTTACGTAAACCATTAGAGAGCCCTAGTTCTAATAAAATTCAGGCAATATTTTAATTGAAATTGACTGCACTGACATGGTATGTGTAATACTACTTAGTTTTTTTACACATGGCATGAGAACTTGGGAGTCCTCTGGGATCCTAAAGAGTAGAACAGCAGTGTTGCAGTCTCCTTGAAGAGTTGATTAAAAGCTACCTGAAGTAGCTTTGCGTATTTTCTCTGGAAAATGCTTGGAGAAACAAAACATACATATAAGTTCTCATGTGTGTTTTATTAAGGGACATGGGCAATAAGGCACTGTGAGATCTTTTGGGTCTGGCTGTCGCACATCTGTCCCCCTGGTGTGTAAGATTTGGATAGTTGCATAGCATCCAAATGCCCATACAGTGGAAAAAATTAAATAGCCAAAGGATGCTCGGGGAGCTAGAGATCATATGTGGGGAAAGAAAAAAGCTTCTCATATAAATAAGTGAAAGCTAGCATGTGATAGTGAAGCATTCCAGGTGGGAAGACAGGTCTGGAAGGTAGTAGTCGCAGGTGTTTCGAGGGCTGACACCTAACATGGGCTGAACTTGCTTTAAATGTTCATGAGCTATGGTAAAAACTTGCGGTATGTTATAGGCTTTAAAACCTTTTATTTATTTTTTGATTTTGCATTGTGTAAGCAAAATACTCTGTAAGAAGTGGAAAGGAGGTAGTTCCTTGCAAAATAACTTCCAGTTAAAAACATTGATTATCCAGTGTCTTCAGCAACAGTAAAAGGCCTCCAACATGGCTATATAAGGAAGCGAACAGTGAAGGTACTAGCTGTGAATTGGAAGGTGATAGGTGGAACACTAGCTTATGGATATGTTTCATTAGAGGAAAAGAATTATGCCTGCTGCAAAGTAAAACTGGAACATAAGGAGGTAAAAGTCAAAAGTTTTGGCTTTGTAATGGAAATTTTTGACAGCTACTAAATGACTTATTATGAAAATTATTACATTACAGTCCCTTTGTTCATAGGGTAGAATATACAATCTTAAAATTGAGAGCAATGTTAGCTCTTAATAAAAAGTTATCTGGGAGGAAGCTTTTTGATTTCTGGATTATTTTGTTGGTCCTTGATATGAGGTTCCTTTTATTTCCTCTTTGAGTGTCTCATGCTGATTGCTATGAAGATGTGGGATTACAGGGTTAGATGAATGAGTAATGCAATTTGGTATGGTAATTCTTTTGTTTCTGAAATAGAGAGGAGGAGATAATCCTGTAAATGTGTTTCAGGGAATGACATCATATACTCGTGCTCTTTCAATCCTACTTTTAAAAAGGCTGTGTGAAAAAGAAAACAGAAAAAGCAGAGTCTGGTTTACTTTGTGAATGATCCAAATATCAGTATTTCCCCTTTAGTGGTAATTTAACTGAAATGTTAAATTGGGTTAATCCTTTTTAAAAAAGTACATTAATTCCTCGTGTGCCTTGATAAAACAGTGACATCTCAGTTTCCTGGCTTTTTCTTAAATGTTTAAAGGAAATATTAATATATTCATCTTATGCAGACATAGTTGAAGATATGTGAAAGAAGGAGAAGCTACGTACTGATGTGCTTTCCAGTGTTTAAACTGTGGAAATGGGTCTGCAGCTGAAAGTTCTGTTGTCCGTCTTTTGCTTCTATCTGTCTTTTCTCCCCAGATCACTGTTTTTCTGTGTTGCTTGTTCTGGAAAGCTGGTGTACCATTTCATTATGTGTACCTGGAATCTCTTATAAGTGCGTTTATAATTTCCGAAGGAAGATATGGCCTTCAAGGATATTACTGTAAAAAATGCAAAGAATTAAATATGTTTGTACCATTCCTTAATCTATTTGAAAATCATTTTCTGCACAGTACTTGATGTGTAGCATATTATTTGATTTAAAATACTTTTTCTAATTTAGATGTTAGGTAAGCATCTAACCAATATTTATAGCAGCAAAGTCAGTTTCTTAGTGTTCTCAGTTATACAATTAAATAATCACAGGCTACCGAAGTTACTACATTTAAAAAAAAAATGAGAAGATCAAGAAGTGCAGTTGTTTTAAATGTGACATTGACACATGATTAGTTTTATTCAAATTGCTCTTTGGTTTGAATTATATTTTGCAAGCCTTAGTGCATCAAACTATGGAACTGATCATTGAGGGGAAAGTATTATCTCAAGTTTACACTTTTGATGTAAACCAAAGCTGGCTTCAAAAGGAAAACATGACTCATTAAAAGAAAGCTGTACCAGTTTTTGCACAGTGCAGGCTTCTGAGCGTGCAGTTGGTAAGAAGCACTTCTCATCCTGTATAAATTATCAAATGTATTTAAAAAATAATTTCAAACTAGTATTTTGAGTCTCCTGGATATGGCTGTTGTACCACTGGAAAGTGATGTTGTGTAACGGTAAGCGATGGGGAAGGCCAGCTTTGGAGATGACGAGGTGGTTACTATCATGCTTCCGTACCTTTCACTGGTTGGTAGATCCTTTTTTAGTGATTTCCCCCCCCCCCTGTTTCTTTTTTTCCCACAAATGAGTAACTGGTATTTATAGTAATATGGAACCTACTGTAACTAAGGTAATAGGGAATCTTTTCACTGCTACTTTTACCCAAATATTGATTTGCACTCTCTTATCAATTGGCTTTTAGTGTGTCCTTCACCAAATGAATGTAGTCAAGTGCAGCTTGAAAGACTTTTACTACAGAAATTTATGTTGATGTAGACTAATGCAAAGTAAACTTTTCCTCTTGTTAAAGAAAGTGTGCATAAATGGAGAGTGCAGTGGGTGATGCTGCCTGCTAGATCTGAATTTTCTCTTAGCACGGAATCATTTTCTTCTTTTTTTCCTGACAGCAACAGCTGGGATGAGCATGTCTTTGAACTGGTTCTACCTAAAGCCTGTATGGTTGGACACGTGGACTTCAAATTTGTTTTGAATTCAAACATCACAAACATTCCCCAAATTCAAGTGACTCTACTGAAAAATAAAGCTCCAGGCTTAGGGAAGGTCAATGGTAAGAAGAACTTACGATGTATTATTTCTTCTCCCAAACTCATTGTTCTTTGTGATGTGTATTAGAAGAATTGCTTGAAATGATGTAAATATTTTGGTTTTACTCATTTCCATTTTAATCTGTTTCTCAGCGTCATGGTCTGTTTTCACTTACCATGTTTGAATGTAAATTCGGGAAACAAACTCAGTAAAGAGTTCCAAAATAAAACTGCATAGCTCAGAAAGGTTGAACTGAATTACTGTTCTGTACTGCTTGAATCCTACAGTCATTAAAAAAATGTGCTGTCAATTGTAAATCATGCTAGAAATTGACCGATGAAACCAATGGGGCTCTTTTAAATTCTTGATATATTTAAAAAATGATAATAAATTATTCCAAGTCACAGAAGGAAATTATTTGCCAGTGCTTCGTGGATGCATAAGATAAAATAGCAAAGGCTTTTTCTGATGACAGTAGTTAAAACCTGGCTTCCTTGGGAATTCTCTCATCATCTGGCTCATTAAGTAAGCTATGTGAAAGCTGCAGTATGATTTCGCCTTTTGTTCCTTGCAGCTTTGACCGGGTGGGTCAAAGTTATGAGAGCTCTTGCCTTGGGAAGACTCCTAGCTGGACTCTGCATCTTCCTAGCTCTCAGGGAACCTGTGAGGGGGTAGCATAAACTGAAAAGTCACTTTGATGCAGAAGAGTTTGTGCCTCCATTGGGGTTTTCCTGTGGTGAGAGTGTTCATTGCATGTCCTGCTGCTCTGTCTGCTAGGGATGGAAGGTATCACATGCAGCGTTTCCTTTTAGTGAGGCATTAATTGGTTATCTTTATCTGACCACTTCTCTGTGAAAGGCTTCTAAGAACTCAGTGTTTCAGAGAAATCCGTCTGTCAGATGTTATTAAATTGGCTGCTGGACATAAAATGTGTTGGGGAGAACAGCAAGCGTGAATGTAAAAGCTCTTTTTTTTTTTCTTTTTCTATTTTTTTTAAAATGCTAAGTAAGAGCAGCCCAGTTAAACAAGGGTGACAGAGGTGTTTTTTTAAAAAAGAAATACAGGCATACTAAAGACATGCTTTCATACAACTTCTCAACTCTTGTAGCATCCCCCAGTGTTTAACAGGAAAAAAAAGTGTGCTGGAGATGCTCCTTAAAGAAATCCTATAAACTGGTGGTCATCCAAGAATGAAATATTCTAGCATAGTAATATTCTTGAGGAAAAGCATGTTCTTTTAGGATACAAGATGGTTTTAGCAGAAGTGCTGCAGGACAGCAGTCAACAGGTGTTCTTGCAGGTTCTTTCTTTTTTAATGCTTGAAGTAAAACCTTAATTTTATCATGGAGCAGAATTTTGTTCTATCAAAGCAAAAAATAGGACATAGTCCATGTTGCTCTTCTGAACAGAACCTGGTGTGTTCAGTTTCAGTTTCAAATATTTCTGAGCAAACAGTTCCATGAGTTGGTAATTCTCTGAAGACATTTGATTTGGCTGTGAAATAAATTGCCAGAGGCTTTACAGTACAGCATACTGATCATAAGACACGACAGAGCTTTTCCAGAAAGTGACACTTTACTTCCTTGCGTGCAATGTAGTGGAATTTGCTTTTTCTGTTATGAATAGGGTGGAGAGAGCATGGAGGGGAGGGCCAGGGTATACACAGGCAGTTTGGAAGGGGCTGGGGGATGTCGGAGCGCCTGCGAGGCAATCTTGGCAAGGTCTTTGTTTCTTTTTGATTCATTAGGACTGGGGAGCCTCCACTAACCAACAACCTCTCAAGTGTTAACGCATTGCAGTTGTTTCCTACCCTTTCTCAATTTCTTGGGTTTTGGAAAAGGACCTTAATGACATTTGACTTTTTTCTGTGCACTATTGAATGAAGTAATCGGGCACTAATGATTTCATTATAAGTGAAGACAAACCCTAGATAATTTATATCTGTTTTGGATATTAATCAAAGTGTTCCAATCCCAGGGAGAAGTAATATTCAGGATTGTTTGACAGCTCTTGAAAATGTATAAAATCTTCAAACTGAAATTCAGTTAACTCCCCGTCACCCTTCCCTTCTCTCCATCCCTAGGGGGAGAAAGAAGCTGAGATTTTAAGATAATGAGACCTAAAGAAGATGTTTAGAGGAGAGTGTATTCAGTCATCTTTGTATGACGGGAACCCCGGAACTAGTTAAATATGTAGTGTGTAATAACGGGAAGGCCAGAGGCATAATTCTTCTGGTTTGGAACTAATGTATTTGATCTGGCAATTAGTTCACTGTGTATGCTTTGTGTTTATTTGCTTGCATGTCCTCTTTGTCTATGGTTCATGAGAACCATTTAATTGAAAAAGAGCTGTACTTAAGTATTAGCAAAAGAATGCCTGATATTTAGCAGGAGCTGTCCAGTTATTTTCAGTTTAAATTATCAAACTTTCAATACCGTAATCTAATTACTTAGGAGTAATCTGCAGTTTATTGTTAGGCAAAAATAATTTGGGCAGTGTTAAAGCAATGCAGGCTGTTTACAGGTCATTAAAATATTTGCTGCAACTTTAATTGCAATCCTAATATGAAAAACATGCCTTTGTGTATTTGTGGTTCTTATATAAGAAATCGTGTTTTGGGCAGAAAGCTCCTAAGTTTGCTCTGAAAACTATTGCTTCAGTTTTGTGTGAGCCTTAAGCAATGTTTATGAAATCTTGCTAATATTTTTAATTCCAGAAGCAGCAGTAGATAGACAGATCACATTTCCTTTATCTCCAGCTCATAATACTGAAGTGGAGAGGAATGGAAAACCAGGACTGGCTGAATTCAATGAAGACATGCAGTATATGGATGTAGAGGAACCACAATGTAAGTTTCCTTTATCTTGTTATACTTTGTTTGAAGTATGAGCGTGCTTTTTTCTTTTTTTAATGATACACTGAAATGTCTCTGCAAAAATTTCTCAGCCATTTAAAATAGGCTAATTTCTCTGTCCTCTTCAGTGGCCTCTCTCACTGGTCTGTTTACTGTATGAATTGAAAGTTTGCGTACAAACACACAGAAAAGCCCAAAAAACTACTGGAGAGTTTGGTGCTTAAAAGCAGATTACTATTAGTATTTATTTGGATTTAGAAACAAAGTAGATTGATATGGCACCTTTCTAACTTGAACTCTTGCCCTGTTCCAGCACTATATTCCTTGGTTTCCCTATCTAGTCTTCCATAGAATTTTTCTTTGCATGCCTGGCTTTTGTAGAGATTGCTGCTGTAAACCAAGAAAAATAATAAACAGCTAGTATAGAATTCATAACTAGTCACATTGACCTTTGGCCACATCAGGCTTGCTGTCCTTGTTTTTGTAGCCTTTTTTGTTAACCCCTTCTCTTTCACAAAATCTGTTAGAGAGACTCTGAAAGGCAATCAGATTGGATCTGAGTGAGGAGGGCTGGAAAATGACTAAAAGTGGACCTCAAGCAATTGTTATTTTTTCAGTGGAGAGTTTTTATGTACTTAGTGATCAGAATTTGACATAGTGTATTTTTAACCCATGCAAGTGATCAGATTTTGTGACTTAATTCCGAGTAATTCAGGTCTGTATTACTCATGGTTTTTTTAAGGTCTTAGATTGTGTCCATTTCTGGAGGAACACAAAGAAGATATACTTTGCGGCCCAGTATGGTTGGCTACTGGGCTTGATCTATCAGGACACGCTGGAATGTTGACACTAACAAGTCCAAAGCTTGTTAAAGGTAAACCAGTTTGTTATGCTATTCACATGAAGTGACTAAAGTGTGTCTCCTACTTCTGTACTCAGACTTTGGTTTGTAGTTATTTTCACATTGACAAATGTTGCTGTGTAACAGGATAGTTTTCAAACCGATGCTGAAGTACTGTGATTAATGTAGTTGAGCTCTGCTTATCCATATTATCTGTGAAGTTGAAATCTGTTTACAACTTGCTCTAGTAAACTATGCAAATTCTCTTCCCTTCCCCGCTTTGTTTGTTTTACACTTCTAGGCATGGCTGGTGGCAAGTACCGCTCCTTTTTAATTCACGTTAAAGCAGTGAATGACAGAGGAACAGAAGAAATCTGCAATGGTGGCATTAGACCAGTTGTTAGAATACCATCTCTAAAACCCCAGACTAACAAGGGCCATTCCCTTGCTTCATTGTTGGCAAAAGTTGCAGCAGGCAAGGTAATGAATAGCCAAGAAAGACAGCTGTGTTAAAGTTGTCGAGTCGGTATAATTTATGGAATTTGAAAATTAAACAGCTGTTAGGAGAATTAAGATCCATTAAAAAATACTTTTTAAAGGGTTGACACTGTGTTAACACCTTCAAGAATCAGAGTTTAACATCTCTTAAGTTGTTTCTTTTGTGTAAATTTAGTTGAAGAGGTTTGTTCTGCCACTTTCCCATTCTGAGCGCTTGTTTTTGAAACTTGTGTTTCCATGAGTGTTTTTAGTAGCTGATACACCTCACCCTTAGGAAGATTTTTGTGGAGGGGTATTTTACTCTTGATTGTTGCAGTTGTCAGATTGGATGATACGATGTACATCTTGTGGACATTAATAGAGTGGTTAGAACATAATAAATTACAGAACATTGTTAAATTTGATGTTCTCTATTAAACTAATTAGTGAAGGAAAGTAGTCTATATTTGTACAACGCTCAAACTCAGTGAGAACTGTATGTGTTTCACTGAACAAGGTATGCAAATGAAGCAGTCAAAAACAGTGTGATTTATGATTTATTTTTTTTAATCAGGAAAAGCCATCTAGCAAAATTGAAGCCACTAATTCTTCAAGGAAATCAGATAATCTGAGAGGCTGTGATTTACTTCAAGAAGTCTCTGTAACAATTAGAAGATTTAAAAAAACTTCCATTTCAAAGGAAAGGTTAGTGGATGTTTTTTAGTTGTAAAAAATACTAGCTTTGGTTACGCTTCTCATAAAATACTTCGTTCTCAGAAGAGCTCGGGTCAAACCATTGTTTCAAGTTGTCATTTCATAAACATATTTTATATAAAAAAACCTGTAAATTGTGAGTTCAAGGACACTGTGCTGTGCAAGTTGTGATAGAATAACACCATGCATGAAGTTGTATGTTGAGTGATTTTTTGCCTGTCTTGAAAAGGCAACTGTAAATAAGTTTTCTTGGTAATTAGATAAATTATTTGAGCAGATTTTTTTTAAAGGAAGTATCTTGCCTTTCTGTTTCTGCGTCTTGTTTCTTACAGTAGAGATTATATTATTTATCGAAAAGTTTAGAATCAAGTTTAACATTGTTACTCAAAAATGGTTAAAGTCTCTGGATTGTACTACAGACCTAAATACAAATAATATAGTATTTCATTTGTGTTACCAACTGCCACGCCACAATAGTGGCACTGGCTGTAATGGGCTTAAAGAGGTCGAAGAGGCTGCAAAGAGGTATGTGCAAATAGAGTGTTGTAGGTGATGAAAGTTAGTTTAGGCTGAGAAGTTCCTAGATAAGTTAATAGCAAAAGAAAAAAAATTCCCTGAAGGTTACTGAATATCAAGTAACCTAGGAAGTTCTTTGAGGAGAAAATAGGAAGATTGGGAATGTGTGTACAGAAAGTATCATACATGCTTGTGTACTGGTTTTACTCATCTAGGCTTTTTTTTTTTTTTGCCACTTCTGAGACAAAGCTGGCGGGATGCTTTAATGGGAGAATGGCCATATTGGATAATGCTTTTTTTCATTTCCTTCCCCTCCTCCGTAGAGTTCAACGGTGTGCCATGTTACAGTTTTCAGAGTTCCATGAGAAGCTGCTCGCCACTCTTTGCAAGAAGACAGATGATGGTCTGACTACAGAACATGCTCAGAGCCTCGTACTAGACACACTTTGTTGGCTGGCCGGAGTGTATTCAAATGGACCTGGCAGGTAAGGGAGAAATCGTGGTTAGATTAGCATGCCTATTTCTCAGTAGCAGCTCTGTTGAAAAAATAAAGTTTTATATGATTCTCTAAAGCATGCATCTTGTTTTCACAGTTCAAAGGAAGGAAATGACAGCTTGCTTTCTAAAACACGTAGATATGTCTCTGATATAATACGTGTTTGCTTCTTTGAAGCTGGACGGAGCATAGCTCACAAATGCGCACGATTTCTTGCACTATGCATCAGGTCAGTGCTAATTATTTATATAAATTTCATTTTATATATTTAT